GTTTAGGTTTCAGGGTTCAGGGTTAACGGTTTACGACTGGCTGGGCTAAGAAAGCAACCGGCCAGCAATATACTTAAGCAACAGCAAAACCCCTCCCACCCACAGACACCCAAAGCAGTATATAGACAGTTGAAAAGTTGTTCACACAACCACCAAACAGCCAGTGTGTTGTTTCCAATTCAACCACCAGCCATCCATTACGCCCTCATCTATCAGCCACTCCGTAGTAGATTCAGTAGACGAGAGCCAGTTGGTCGGCGCAAAGCAGTGTCAGCATTTAAGAGCGAAAAGATATTCCGAGCAACCCTCTATGTTTTTCCAAGAATGCATTGATATGCGTGAACATGGCACCAATTCGAAAGATAAGGAAAATCATTGGGGAACCGGTTTCGCTTTGTGAATGCCCCGTACACACACTTTTGAGGGCTAGCTAGACACTGTCTACGGAACAGAGCAGGGCAGGGGAGGGCAAGGGCAGGGGCCAAAAGCAGGTGCAGGGGGGCAGCGGGGCACGGCAGGGCGACTGGACCCGCAAAGTTTATCGACAAGGTTTCCATTTTGAGCCTGAAAATTTGGGCCTCAAGCTCAGGCTTGAGTAGTTGTCGACAAAAGCTGAAGGTTTAGACAGATAAAGATGTAAGTTAGGGAAAAATTTACACGAAGAGGTAGATATGATAGAGAGATCTAGGTTTTCAGGTTTAAAGGGCCTCGCATTTTCCGGTTTCGGCTCAGCGACCATAAGTTTGTTGATGAATGTTGATTTGGGTTAGGAGACCTTGGTTTAGCCAGTTGGGGTTAGGCGACCTTCAGTTGAAGGTTGAAAGACTTTCAATAACCTGTAGGTCCGTCAGTCCTAAAGTTTCAATCGTCCGGGTGTCAGGGTGTGAATTCGGAACGGGTACCCAGAGAACCCAATACCCCTTAATTAAGGAATATACCTTAAATCATAATATTAAGGGTAAAAATACAAAAGTGTGAAAGGCCCGGACCTTGATTCGTTCTCGCGCCTGCGTCAGGCATAAATCGCCAAGCACAAGAGCGAGACAAGCGAGCAGACCCCATGCGTGGCAACGCGAAGAGCTCCTTCCTTTAAATCTGCAGTTCCATTCCCAAGAAACGATGACTTCATTGGCCCTGAGTCTAACAGGCACGAACAAGTACGATCGGGTCCCTGAGGAAAGGAAGTTGGATCGATGGGTAGTAGGGCTCCTCCCTGTTAAATTCAAGCTACAAACGTAATATAGGGGCCTTAATAATTAGCATAGGGTTTGGGTATATTATACTATAGTTGTAATAAGGAATCCCCAAAACCCGATTCTAATTATTAAGTCCCCTACATAAAACCCTAAAGCCTAAACCCTAAACCCTTATAGTAGCCCTTATAGAACCCTTGTAAGGAACCCCTTGAACGAAGCCTATGAAACCCATTAGGCACTCAACCCACGACTTCCGATGCGCGCCATTGCCCATAGCTTTCAATGCAGGGTTTAGGGTTTAGGGTTTAGGGTTTAGGGTTTAGCCCATAGCAAACTCGTGGTCGCCTCGGCATGCAAGGAACCGAAAGCCCCCGCCAGTGCAAAAGGGAATCTTGATGCTGCGGACCCAGAGAACCCCAATACCCCTCAATTCAGGAATATGCCTTGAATTATAGGGGCCATAATATTATGATTTTAAGGTATATTCCTTAATTAAGGGGTGTTGGGTTCCCTGGGGACAGAAAGCCACAACTACAGATGCCGATTTTCCCAAGTACAGTCCGAACCCACACGCAGCCCGAAAACCCAAAGCCTTGCTCCCTAACCTTGAAAACATCAACACTCTAAACGGGTTTAGGGTTTAGGGTTTAGGGACCGTAAACCCTAAACCCTAAACCCGAAACCCTAAACCCTAAACCCTCAGCCCCAGACCTGATCCGCGCCCTTGTGCCAGGTTAAAAGAGCAAGTCCAGGCGCAGGCGCTCCAGCAATTTCATCGGGTGACGCCAGTGACGCCGCATGCTCGACCCGCTGCTGTATCTAGGTCCTCACTTGGGGTTTGGGGATCAGGGTTTTGTGCACTGTTGTGATCTTGTGTCCGTTTTGTTTTCGTCTTCCCTTCTCGAAGTTAAATAATAGGAAATCAGGGCATTCTGAAAACCAGAGCAAGCACAAGAAGCCCCACAAACAGCGCACAGAAGTCCCATAAAGCCTCAATCCCTTACAAACTCACCCAACAAACACCTTTGCTTTCACGGATTTTTTTGGGGGAGCCAAGGCAAAGGCATTGCCGCCACCTCCTCCTCGCCCGACCTCGGCGCCGGCGGCCCCACCTATCATGCAGCGTCTCGGCTGGTTTAGGGTTTAGGGTTCAGGGTTTATGTTTTAGGGTTTAGGGTTTCTCGGCTTGAACTTCTTGTTCACTCTCACAACTCTACGTTGACATGCCGGTTTATTTATACCAGAATTTTTACATGTTGCAAACGTGAACACGCAGGACATGTCATGCCCTGAAATCTAATTTGACTGGGAGGAAGGGATATAAAGAGGTGGTGCTGAACCTAGACTCAAGACTAAACTTGCATGAGACGAATAGTATGAGTTAGGGTTTAGGGTTTAGG